ATTATTATCTTCCCCTGTCCAAGTCAAGAAAATTAGGGCATGTGTGGCAGAAAGACATTACATGTATTATACCTCTGTCCAAGTCATGAAAAATTAAGGCTTGTGTGGCAGAACAACATTATTGTCTACCCCTGTCCAAGTCAAGAAAATTAAGGCTTGTGTGGCAGAAACACATTATTGTCTACCCCTGTCCAAGTCAAGAAAATTAGGGCTTGTGTGGCTAAAACACATTATTATCTACCCCAGTCCAAGTCATGAAAATTAAGGCTTGTGTGGCAGAAAGACATTATTGTCTACCCCTGTCCAAGTCAAGAAAATAGAGGCTTGTGTGGCAGAAAGACATTATTATCTACCCCAGTCCAAATCAAGAAAATTAAGGATTGTGTGTCAGAAAGACATTATTATCTTCCCCTGTCCAAGTCAAGAAAATTAGGGCTTGTGTGGCAGAAAGACATTACATGTATTATATACATGTACCTCTGTCCAAGTCATGAAAATTAAGGCTAGTGTGGCAGAACGACATTATTGTCTACCCCTGTCCAATTCAAGAAAATTAAGGCTTGTGTGGCATAAAAAAAACATTACATGTATTATATACACTGCACACACAAAACCATCCACCCATGACACACACATACACAGAGCCATACACTGCCTACTACTTTGCTTACAAATACTACACACTAACAAGTCACACACACACACACACACACACACACAAGTACTGTAGATGTGCATAGTACCTAGCTACCTGGATGTCAACTGTAGATGGCACTATTCCGTTTGGCTACTTGGACACAACCCCTCTCTAAAATTTGGACATTTATTTTGGGCCTTTTTTGGGGAAAATTTTTTCTTGTGTGACTAAATCTTAGCTGATTAGAAATGACATGTCAGACATCTTAGACACTGAATATGATAGTTTTCTTGTGTGGCTAGACACACAAGTCTAAAGTGACACACAAGGATATCTCATACGTAAAACTAAACACACAAGCATACCATCGCAAACTCGGACGTACGTACGGACGGACGGACAACCCGAAAACATAATGCCTCCGGCTACTTCGTAACGGAGGCATAAAAATAAAATTCAGGATTGCCGGTAGTACAGCCTAAAGGCTAGATGGTTTTAAGACGAGGCATTGTGGCGTGCCCCTGTCATCCAGCTTACAATGGAAGTTACAAACTGATTCAGCATAGGACGTTTAAAGTCGGTCCTCAGAAGTAAATAATCATATCTGATTGATACACGTCTGAAAAAGTTAACCCAATACACACACAGACACACACATACAAGTGGTCTAGCCTTTGGGAGCAGGTCTACATCTAGGCCTAGAATCTAGAGTAGACTAGTCTAGATCTAGACTGTAGACGTAGGGTTAGAGCTTACCCTAACCCTCACCCTAATCCTAGGCGGGCTGGATATGATCTAAATCAAGTATATAAAAAGATATAGCCTACTACTATACTAGGCATACTTTACTCTTCAACAAAGGGGCAAAGCCCCCCCCCCCCCCCCATCTAAAAAAATAAATAAATAAATAAATAAATAAAATATAAATTAATAAAAAAATTAATAAAAAAATAAATTAATAAAATAAATAAGTACAACATTTAAAACATATATGAATAGAATATAAATAGATTCAATTAAATTTTTAAAAAATATTTAACAAAATTTCCCCTAATTTGATACCAGTGATTTACAAACGTTGCTGAAAGGACATGATTTTCTGTTTTCAGTTATTGCAATGACGACCTTCGTCATTGCCTTGTTTTCGTTCACATTCTTCTTATTAATATTCTTACTTCTTCTTCCTCTTCTTCTTCCTCTTCTTCTTCTTGTCGTCCGGAATCCCATTCGTTTTGCACGTAGTGCTTGTTATTCGTATCCAGGTCCTTTTCTCTTGCTCGATTTCTTTCAAACTTCGTAGGCGTAATCTCTGATATCCAATCTAGGTCCCCTACTTTTTTGTTTTCTGAAATCACTCATGCATAAACCTCCAGGCGCCATTTTGTCTGTTTGTGGTCCATTTTAAGGCCTTTCTTTCTTCCTTCCTATCTCCACTATCCTAGATCCTACAAACTTCTAACAAATTCCTTTAGATAGTCTAAGAGATGTTCTTCTATGTGCGACGTATAACCTGACCTTCAAAATGCCATCTTCGTACTCAAAATTCAAATCTGAAACTGACTCCGTCAAAAATCTCTCAAGTTCTTGAAAAATTGACCCTTAAATAATCTAAAACTGCCATAACTTTCTCATATAAATTCCGTTTTGCATCTAAATCTGACAGTATCTTTATCTCATAATTGCACATAGCCATGCAAAATTATACGCTCCAATGGCTTTGCAAAACATAAATAGCGCCCTCTAAAGTTCAGGGAATTGGCTTTCTTTCTGTGGCCGTATCTTTATTATGGCTTGGCAGACCCGTACCCTTTTTGGGATTTAGATACTTGAAGATGTGCCCTTTCAAGCCATACAAAATTATATACACTAACACTGACCGACTGTAAGAAAAATGCCCTCTAAATATAGAGTTTTCAAGAAAATTGAGAAATAATTTCAACTTGCTCTAAAATGGCGATCTTTATACGTATGTCAATGAAACTTAGCAGACACATGTATCTATATACGAGACAACTGTCTGCCAAGTTTGGTAAAATTTTATAACGTCAGCGCAAAGTTATCGCCAAATGATGAATTTGCTATGCATTACGTAATAGCGCCTTTAATGCGTGCAGTACATTGTGCGCAGATGACAATGGTGTCAAACTGACCGCAATGAAGGGCCCTTTCGAATGATACCAAGGATGGTATATGTTCACACAGACAATTTTGAGTAAATCACATTTGAACAAGGGTCACTATACAAATTTCGCCGAGTTTCCGCCCAATTATAACACGTATCGGCTATGACGTCATTTTTTTCAGACTGCTTTTCGCCCCCTAAACGTCCTTTTCTTTCCTTGAAACTTTGCAGTGACATTCCGAGTTGCAATACGCAGGGAAACTCGTGGCCAGATTAATAAAATTGGTCAAGGGGGCCATTTAAGACGCCATTTTGTCCTATAAATCTATTATACATCACCTGTTACGATAGGATTATCATAGAAAAAAAGAGAGTGGTTTACAATAACAACCATGGAATTCTCTTTCTAATGATACCAAATGCGGCCCATAAAAAGACATAAAGAGAGAGAGAAAAAACAAATTAACTCCGGTCATAGTACAGATCCTGTACGTTTTCTGCCCATGCATTACACGCATTGTCTATGGTGCATATCAGATTCACGCTTTTTGCCCCCGGAACCATCTTTATTACAATGACGAACATGCACTAAATCCCATTGGTTTTTGCACGCAGTGCTTGCGAGCCCAATCTAGGTTCTTTCCCCTAACCCAATTTCTCTCAAACTTCGTAGGCATAGTCAGTATCATCTCATCAAGGTCACTGTTGAGGCCTTTCTTTCGCCCTACCTATCTCCAATATCACAGAAGCTACAGACTTTGTACAAATTGCTCTGGATAGTCCAAGAGAAGCTCTTTTGTTTGACACGTACAATCATGGCGTCATTGCACGCACATCGTTGTGACACGATTGCATTTCTAGTTTTTACTTTGGTACCATGGTATGCGTTTGTTGGAAAATCAAAAATTTCCAAATTTATAGTCAAGCAAAAAAAAAAGCATATTTGAAAGCCTTCATGTCAGAGCCTTCATGTCAGGGCCTGCAGAACGGTGGGGCTTGGGGGCTCGAGCCCCCCCCCCCCCTTTCCCCACTTAAAAAAAAATTATGTTTAAGAGAAAAAGAAAGAAAGAGAAAGAAAGAAATTAATTACCTGCCAGTGTCACAAATCAGGTATCAAAATATGCTCATCTGACCAAAATTAAATATCTAAAACCCATGAGCTTCCTGGGAGCTCTGCCCCCTCGACCCCATCAAGAGCCCTACAGCCCCTAAGGCAGGACCCTTGATACTCATCTGACTGTAAAAAAATGCCTAAAACCCCTGACCTGAGCTTCAGGGGACTCAGCCTCCTTGACCACCCGCCATTTTTAGCTACGTGCCAATGGCACAAATAAAGGATCAAATATGCTCATCTGACCTTAATTTAATGCCTGTAACCCCCGAGCTTCCGGGGCCCGCTCCGCCCCCTGGTTCCCATCAGGGGCCCCTTAGACGGGCTCTTGAATCAGTGAATGTTCCGACCATAATTAAATGCCAGAAAAACCATGAGCTTCATGGGGCTCAGCGCCCCGCACCCCTAGCCAATTACTAGTGAATGTTCCAACCATAATTAAATGCCAGAAAAACCATGAGCTTCATGGGGCTCAGCGCCCCGCACCCCTAGCCAATTACTAGTGACCTGCCAGTGACAAAAATAAGGTATCTTAATATGCTTATCTGACTGTAATTTACTGCTAAACCCCCTCAGTTTCTTCTGGGGGCTCCACCCCTTGACCCCCTGGAACCCACGCCAATTTATGCTTTGCTATCCACAGTAGGTCTAGTACCTGATGGTTAAATAATACTCTGCAGGGCATGCATCAATGCATATGTTACATTGTAAGAGTCAGAGTGGTGGTGATATTTTCTTCTGCCTCCCAAACACCACTGCCCCTGAAAGATGATCCTCCTGAACTGTCCACCCCCCCCCCCCCCCCCATCTCTAACTGCTTCTGACGCACCCGCTCTTTTCTAATAACTAGTAGGCCTACTAAGTAGGGTCTACACTAGCTTACACTAAAGTAGGTAGACCTACTACTATAGTACCATGTGGCCGGCATATGTATACTAACTACTAGAACTTACTACTAGTACTAGTACTACTAGCAGGCCTGATACTTTTACCAGTTAACTAGTAACTGTTAGATCTAGTCTAGGCCTACTGGCCTAGATCTAGTAGTGACTAGTACTAAATAAATAGGGTGAGTTCTTCTAGATCTAAGTACAGTAACTAGCCCTTCATTGCAGCATGTTGACACTTACCATCGGAATCCTTTCCATTTGGAGGCCGAGCCGAGTTTGGGATGGATCGCAGCTTCTTTGATGACTAGACCTAGTAGACCTATGTTGCTTCCTTCATCTTCAGTCATGCAGCGTTGCCTGCGGCTGCGATGTGTCATGAGCAGCAGGTACGGTACCGCGTGTCAGAGTACCGGCGCTACGCCAGCTGCATCATCATGATCATAAAGCCCAAAATTTGAGCTTTTCTTATTCCCAATATCGGCAAAAGAGTGAACCCAACCTGTCTCCCTTGAATCCGAAATTGGGGTCCAGACATCATCCATCCAACTCGAAGCCTCGAGTCCTCCATGCTGGTTTGGAAGACGACTGGCGAGTGGCGACCATCGGGTGGCGACGTACGTAGGCTACACTCTCCCCCAGCCCCCCCCCCCCCTCTCTCTCTCTCTCTCTCTCTCTCTCTCTCTCTCTCTCTCTCTCCCTCCCTCCCTCCTCTCTCTCTCTCTCTCTCTCTCTCTCTCTCTCTCTCTTTCGAAACCGTAGGCCTATATAGGCTTACATGAATTAACATCAAATCATTTCTTTCTTTTCCTTTCATATTATAGAAATCGAATCATGATTACTATAGAGCCCGATATGATCATAATCAGAAGCCCACTATTAAAGCTGTGTTGATCAATTAAAGTTTCAAGCCTGGCGATTTGAAGTATTTTAGGGCCCTGTACCCATTTTTCTCACAACACGACATATAACATCAGTTTCACCATGATCGTCACTTTCTTTTCCTTTTTGAATCATTTTCTATGATTATTTTAATACTTCGCAGAGGATTGGAGCCCGTCGGAATTTTGGAGCCCGCTTTAGCTGTACGTACAGTGTCAAAACAGGTTTTAAGCATGGCGATTCCAACTACTTTAGGGGCATTTCTGTACTAAATTTATCTCAGAACACTCGTAATTTATATTAGAACATCAACTACAGCACATTTATATAACATCAATTACGGCGTCACTTTCTTTTCCTTTTTTCATCATCTTTATGATTATTATGATACTTCGCAGAGGATTGGAGCCCGTCATAGAGTTTCGGAGCCTGCTTTAGCTGTACGTAGATCAATACAGGTTTTTAGCCTGGCGATTCCAGGCGCGGATCCAGGGGGGGGGGTGGCCCCCCCCCATATGGAAACGTTTGCTTGTATTCTCATAAAAGAATATGAGCACGAACTGACTAAGTTGAGTGCTCAGGGGTCACAGGCCAATGGCTTCATCGGGCAGGTAGTTCCATTATGTGAATGGGTAAATTAACTATTACAAAATGAGGGGACACATTACATTGTTTTTATTGTGCAGAACATACTCTTTTATTGACTTACTTATTGCATGAAACTATATAACCAAAATGCATTTTGTATCATTGGAGTACAAAGAATAATAACAGGTGAATGAAATGCATAAACACCACAAACACCTGGGGAGGAAGCATTCATAAATTTGAATACATATATATGATAAACGACTCCGATGAAACTATAAAACCAAAATGAAATTTGCGTTCTGGCAATTGGAGTACAAAGAATGATAGCAGGTGAATGAAATGCTTCAACAGCAACACAAGCACCTGGGAAGCCAGGAAGCATCCATAAATTTGAATAATTTAGTTGATAAACGACTCCGCATGTGGACGTTTGTTGGAGCAGAAAGCAGTGGATTCTTAACAACACGAACCCATTTAACATAATGTCGGAACGTAAATTAAATTTGGCGCGGTTGGAAAATGCATCTTTCTACCCTGCAACTTTAATGGTACGATCCAGTAAATTAAAACAATAAAATGGCTCTTATTTTAAAATTACTCGTTAAATGAAACCCAAAACTTCAGTGATATCAGAAAAAATATGTTATATCTTACTAATAATTAAAAAAAGATGTATAAACATTGTGAAAGTGTCGCATTTTACGATAAAAGACACCGATTTAGCAAAGATCACGTCATTAGTGCGCTTGCATCAGGGAATTCAAGGTCAAAAGGTCAATTCAGACGCTGATGAGTTGTTGGTCGAGCATTTTTGTTTCCTTTATTCCGACAAAATTATACAATCAATCAAAATAAGTTTGATACCAGAAGAAAGCTAACGATTAGTATTTTCATTAACCGCTTGCCCCAAAGTCTCTTGACCACAGTGAAACGAGTGAGAGCTTGCGAGATCGGCCAAAGTGTGATTGAAACTCGCTATTTGCTCTTCTCCAACGCAAAAAGAGACGACATTGTGCTGGATAAATGTATTTTTTCCGGCAAAAGTACAGAAAATTTGCATATGGTCTTTTTATATTATACTTTATGAAATGTTACCTCATGGGCTTCTGGGCGCCCCAATGCTGGAAAGAAACGCACATTTTAGAAAACTTCACTTTTTCATGGAAAAATGCTTATTTGTTCTATGCACGCAAGTCAGATTGAGCGGATGATACAACGTTTCCATATGCCCCCCCCCCCCGCAAAAAAAAAAAAAAAAAAAAAAAGAGAGAAGAAAGGAAAGGAAGGGAAAGGGAAAAAGGAGAAAAAGGGAAAGAAAGAAGAGGAAGAAGAAAAGAAAAGGGGGGGAAGAAGGAGATCGGGGGGCCGAAAGGGCCTTGCCTCCCAGGCTGTTAACCCCCCCCCCCCCCCCCAATCAAAAAAAAATAAGAGAGATGGAAGGAAAGGGAAAGAAAAAAAGGAAAAGAGGAGATACTGGCGTACTGATAGAGGGGGGGGGGGAGGGCTTGAGAGAAATCAAATTCAAACGTGGTTTATTTCTAATTCCTCAACGGTGGATTACAAATAATGCTGAAATGACATAATTTCCGAAATTTTTCCTCACTTTTTAGTCAATTATACGTTTGTATGTGTTTGTTGGAAAATGACAAATTTCTAAATTTACAGCCAGGCAAAAAATATGATTCTTGAGATTCCTACATGTCAGGGCCCGAGGTACGGCGGGGATCGAGAGCCTCGAGCTCCCCCCCCCCCCCACTTTTCTTGAAAAAGTATATTAAAGAGAAATAAAATAGAATGAGAGCAAGAAAGTGAGAATAGTTAACTGCCAGTGTTAACAAAATAATGAGGCATCAAAATATGCTCATCTGACCGTGATTAATTTTTTTTTCCCCCTTCCACAGGGTTTTCAAAACAAATTTCATCATATACAGAACATCCATATATCATATACAAATAATTAAAGAAATAATTTCCATACATAATGGCTTGACACAGATAATAATCATCACGGCCAAAAACTTTTGTGGCAGATAAAAACAAACATTTATGACAAAATTAGTACTTTAAATATATAATTTAAAAAAAATACCAAACAAAAAATACATGATCATGTTTATGTTAGCACATTTCCAACACTCTCAAAATATTGTCTAAAGTGAAACCATTTCTTTTTTAGTTTATTCTCTCTGAGATTTGTTTGGTATATATACAGCCCCTCAAAAACTCTGCAACATTCATATCATTTTGGTCAGAATGGACAAAAAAGTGGTATAGTAGTTTATGATATAGACTACAAGCACGAAGCACAGACTGCATTAGCAGACTACGAGTGTAGCAGAGCATAGCAGGGCGCTATTCCTATTGGAAGCTTCCGTGGAAGAGAATCAACCTGAACTCTTTCTCTCACGCAACCGACTCTTCAACCGAACAGACGTACCTATACTGGAAGTTAAGGATGTCTAGCCTGATACATTCCAGTGAGTATTACATGTCTGGTTATGGTGTCTAAGTAGATGCCCAAGTCTACTTCATTGGCATCATGGACTTTTAGGACCTCGAAATGCACCGTTTTGGGGTAACTTGTTGTGTTGTTTTGTCAATTTTAATTTGTCAAAACGGGCATGGACCTCAATTTGCCGGGATTGCGCTGGGGGCTGTGCGGGGTATCGCTCGCTAGTTTCCTAGTGGAAACAAATTTTCCGGTTGGGAGTGGTGCCCGTATAGTTCCGGCCGACCATTTGTTTTAAAATGGTGAATTTTAAACTTTCTGTGCCTTTACGGGAGCGAGAGCCGTGAAGGGCTGACAGGTTTGGTGGGGGCTGGGTATAGGCCCATGGCTGGATGGCTGCAGTGAAGTATGGTGTTATATCTCTCGTGAGTGGATGTGTTATGTTATTTGTGGCTAGTTTTAATACTAGTGTGGTGAATGTCCTGTTTTATGTATGTTTAATGTTGGGTTTGATGGAATGATGGATATCAACCTGGTGGCTTTTAAGCAGGATGAGATATGGTCAGCCATGTTGAATGTTTATGGAAGCATTCTTATTGAATGGCGTGAATGTGATTTGTAGAAGAATGGATGATGGAATGTGGGAAACATTCCAGGAATAACCGTGGGGGATGGTTGTATCCCCAGCTGGGTTACGTTTTTCCATTCATATCCCTTCGAGCGTGAGTCTTGAGGAGTTCCGGAATTCAAGATTCGCACGCACACGTTCGCTGGAGGGGATAGACCAATCAGGGCGCGGCGGCGAAAGTTTCGCTCACCCAGATTTTCCGATCCGGAGTCACGCACACGTTCGCTGGAGGGAATAGACCAATCAGGGCGCGGCGGCGAAAGTTTCGCTCACCCAGATTTTCCGATCCGGAGTACGTACCCATTCCCTCACGTGTTGTGGTGTGGAAGTTTCCAATCTATATCTACGGCTAATATATGAAGACTAGCAATATGGTAGGGTATTCTGCAATTAAGCCCAAGTATTTACACTGCTTTAGGAGTTTGGAGAGGTGGGATTCTCGTGGATTGTAAGGTAGGAAATCCTTTGCTTTTGACTTCTAATCATTGTTTTTCTCCTTTAGACTGATTTTGTCGGGCTTTTCCTTCACTCATTTTTTGATACGTGGATTTATCATTGGCTGTAATCTGTAGACTATACGTGTGTGAGTGCTCGTGTTACCAGCAGTTCCGTGTAGGCCCACCTACCCGCTTGGCTTCGTAGCCATGCAATTATTAAATTAAATTAAAAATAAAGAGGGAATAGGAGACAAATAAAATTAGTGATTATTTGTTGAAGACAAGCTGTTTGGATTTGTTTAATTTGTTTCGGAGGCGTAAAGCTTACTGATAATAAATCTAGATTTAGTGGATATCGTGGGGGATCTGCTCCCATGAATTCTGCTACTGTGGAGGGGGGATTCTAGTCTTCTTCGCAGACTTGGTTAAGTTAATTCTATTCAATATTATATATAACTTAATCAAATTGTAGTGTGTAAACAATTTCCAATAATGAAATAGGTCTAGTTCTTAGCAATCTTTAGGTTAGTTTAGGGCAAATACTTTAGATTTTTTGGACTGTTTGTTTAGTTGGTGGAGGGAGTTGTTGTATTTATAATTCCCTTTCGCGAATTAAATAGAACCTAGACATCTAGGTTAGGTTATTTATATTTTTATTACTGAACTCGAACTGGCTGTGGTTGGAATTTGTATTAATTGTGGTGGTGTTCTGGTGAATCTATAACTGGAATTGCTTTTGATTGTTTATCTTGGTTGACTGTTCGGTTTTAACTCCATTGTAGGGGTGTTTTCCGGGGAACAGAAGATATCAGATAAATCGATAGCACTTTTGTTACCGTGGGCGAGGACTTGGCTCTGGGAGTTTTATCCCAGGGTAGTCGTGAGTCTTGGCGGTGCGGAGGTGGGGCTTCTTCTTCTTCGCAGTTGTAGTGTTGGAATATTAGGGCATCTATTGCATTATACAGATACAATTATAGCATTTGTTATTTCTTATATATTTTAGGACAGTTTAAGAATATAAGAATAAGTATCGACTTAGAGATTAATAATATTAGGGATTAAATTTAGTAGGACGTTGGGTTTATTACAGTCAGTGCTGGGGTGGATATATCCTATCCTGTCTCTGGTGTGTTGGTTGGGGCCCAAGGAGGGGTGTAGCTCCTTCTTTTATTCATCGAACCTCGCCAGTGGCGAGCAATAGCTCATTCTTGAGTTTAGTAGGCTCCTTTTCGATATTTTATATCGGTTCGGTGAATTGATCTAGAGGTCTTTGTAACCCTGTAAGTTGGGGCTCTGATCGGACCGGAAGATCGGAGCGACACCCTCGCACCTTTGATCGGTATCGGATCGGAAGATCGACAAAAAAAATCGGTCAATTTTTTTTTTTTTTTTTTTTTTTTTTTTTTTTTAATGACAAAAATTTTCAAGTTTTTGGCTATCAAATGCTTAAAAGAAATTTATGGCTGGGATTATTTTGTCATTTAGAGTTGTTGTAGACCATGTTTGTTGATATTTAGTGCCTTTTCATGACTTTGAATTTAATAATGTTGGTCTAAGAGCAGAGGCAAAACATGCGATTGGATCTTTGATTATAATGTAGGTATATGCATTATAATCCAAGATGGCGGCCCGCATGTTTTGCCTCTGCTCTTAGACCAATATTATTAATTCCAAAGTCATGAAAAGGCACTACATGGTCCTACAACAACTCCAAATGACAAAATAATCCCAGCCATGAATTTTTTGAGCATTTGATAGCCAAAAACTTGAAAATTGATCGGATCGGTATAGGCGGCCGATTACAGGGTTTAATAGGTCTTTGTTTTTTGTGTTTGTGCTTGTGATTGCAATTGTGCTAATATATCCTAGTATATTGTTCTGTTCAATTATTCACCTGCGGTTGTAGGGTGTTTATAATTGCTGAATAGATCAATTAATATTCTGGGATTTATTTTATTGTTGTAGGTTTTGTCCTATTGTTGGAAGGATTTAACCTAGCACTGTGGGAATATGGAGAAGGTCACTATTAATAGTTGTACATTTGAGGAGTTGCTGGCCATGCCTGGGGTAAGCCCTGTTCTAGCGGGGCGTATTTTAGAACTCCGGGAAAAGCATGGGGGGATTACTCCTGAGCTGTTGGAATCCTCTCCTATGTTTGCGGCTGTAGGCATTCTGCAAGGCTGGTTTGACTTCCGATCGCGTTTGGATTATGGGGGAGAGTCCCCCAGAATGCCATTTAGGGCAATATTCCAAACGGCGATTTTTGGAGTAGCACGCTCCGGGGGAGAGGATCGGGAGAATCCGAAGGAAGAAGTCTAGGGCGGGTGCTCCCGCAGGAATTCGTGGAGAAGATTCCCTACTAGGGCCGGCCCGGACTTTTTCCGCGCATAAGGTCATGTACGGCTGTTCCCGGCAGGCCAAAGTGATGGCGACCGAATCGGGCGAGACCAGAGGGCCCGAGGTGCGAAGGGTGGACATTGCCTTTGCAACTGGCGCGGGGCACTCCTGCCACCCCTTCCCCTTCCAGACTTGAGACCCGGATGTCAGAGTTGGAGGGACGATCGGATAACCGAATATCTGGTTTAGCGAAGATCTTTGATAACCGGATGTTTAGTTTGGTGAAAAGATTGGATAGCCAGATATCTGGTTTGTCTACCAGTTTGGATATCCGGCTTGGAGAAAAACCTGGAGAACCTTGCCAAGGCTCTAGGTGGGGCACGAGGGATTTCACCGACCCTGTCGCGGGTCTGAGGAAGGTCGGACGAGAAGTACCTGACCGAGGAGCAGGCGCAGTAAAGTCTGACAAGTTAGGGATGGATGAGGTCCTCCCTGCTATTTTTTTTCTATTATATTGTGTTTATAATGAAATTGCCCTTTGAGGGCGTGAAGTTTTTATTATGGGATGTATAATGGGGTTGCCCTTTGTAGTTGGCAAAGGGAGGAGGGTTTTGTTAAAGGAAAGGAAGGGGAAAAAGTTTTTTTTCCGGGGGGCGACATTCATCGTTTTGTATAAATTTTATATGTTGTGACATGACCTGGCTGTTACAAAAGCCGGTCTTAGCGGGTTTGAGTCACTGATTGTGGCACCCGAGTTTATTTTGAGGGGTTAGGTTCTCCCTGGGATGAGTTCTTTAAAACGGGGGGGGGGGGGGGGGGGGGGGGGGGGGGGAATATAGAAGTTTATGATATAGACTACAAGCACGAAGCAGACTGTATTAGCAGACTACGAGTGTGGCAGAGCATAGCAGTCTACAATAGCCACCCTCATCAGTAGAGGGTGCTATTCCTATTGGAAGCTTCCGTGGAAGAGAGTCAACCTGAACTCTTTCTCTCATGCAACCGACACCTCAACCGAACAGACGTACCTATACTGGAAGTTAAGGATGTCTAGCCTGATACATTCCAGTGAGTATTACATGTCTGGTTATGGTGTCTAAGTAGATGCCCAAGTCTACTTCAGTGGTTCATGCAGAGTTATCATTTTTTGCTCAACAGCTGCATTCTAATGCATTAGGCTATATGCAGAAAGTGGCGGAAGGGTATTTTCAAACTTAAATCCTATGTGATCCCTTGGGGCTAGCGAGAAATAAAGTACATCAACATATTCCTTACGACTTGAAGTAATTATCCCTCGGGGGAGGGGGGGGGGGGGGTCGATTCTCAAAAGTTGGAATTCTCCCAAGTTGCCATGGAAACGCATTTAAATCGCTGTTTTGACCAATATATTTTTTAGAAATTTGAAGTAGTGCTGTAGTCAAACGTTTAACCGTCCGGTATCCGACCGCCCATGGCGGATTCCGTTTTCAATTGGACGGTTTCGTTTTCCCGATTTTTTTTTTTTTTTTTTTTTTTTTTTTTTTTAAAGTTTCAATTTATGCCCCTCCACCTGGCACTATGCCTGGCAATGTCTCACAGCTCAGTAATCTGTGTGTTGACTCACCACTCCAAAACTAGAACAACACTCCAATTTGTCTGTCATCTTGGTTTGAAAGTAATCTTTGTAATAGATCTCATCATCTCAATATGTAGTTTATAATAATAATTCACCCAACTTTTACACAAGGTTCTGTCCTAGGTCCTCTACTGTTTTTAATTTACATTAATGATCTTACACATTCTTCTAAAAACAACATTGTTACTATTATTTGTGACAAGTTCACAAGCACAAATCGGCTCCTTTAAATGCACCTCGCAGTTAAATGAAAGTTGCCGACAGAGTCGGTAAAAAAAAAAAAAAAAAATGATTTTTTTTTTTTTTTTTTTTTTTTTTTTTTTTTTTTTTTTTTTTAATAATTTTTTTAAATTTAAAAAAAAAAAATCGTTTAACCGAAAACCGTCCGGTTTTGACTGGCGGTTAAACGGAATTGGAGATATCCGTGATGTTACAGCACTAATTTGAAGTGACCCCCCTTTCGAAATATAGAAATTAATTTGCCCTTTCATATGACACCTCATTTATTCAGTATCTTCAGGATCGCAACAGATTAAGGTTTGAATCTAAATTTATTTTTAAAAACTTTTTTAAAACTCATAGACTCTATAGGGATGTGTGCGTTGTCTATGGGAAGGGTTTTAGCACACAAAACCAGGTGCGCGATCAGACACCCTACTAGTGTCAAACTTTGCTTACAGCTGCATCGACATGACTGTGTACAGTCTATGTAATAATGTGTGGTGTGTATATTTGTGTATAGATCTAGGTATAACTAGACTTTAATTCGTCACTTTGACGAATTAGGCGATACGTATGCTCATGTGTAACATAATGAAAAACGCATTTTCACGATTTTATCTTTCGTTTACTACTCCCATTATGGTCTATCCATGAGTCAAGTTTCAACTGTAGGGCAGAGGGAGACAGACCAAGAGAATAAGAGGGAGGCAAGGCAAGAGAGAGAGAGAGAGAGAGAGAGAGAGTGGGAGAGGGTGAAAGAGAAGAGAGATAGATAGATGCAGAGACAGACCAAAAAAGGAGAGGGGCAGAACATGAGAGGAGAAGGAAAAAGAGCAAGAGGGAGAGAGAGATGCAATTGAGAACAATGCCTTCCAGATGACCATGATTAAAAGTGGTATAGCGCCCCCTTCAGGTATTCGATTGAGGATTGTTATATATGATAATTGACATGTCACCTATGATTGAATTTTTGACTATGATAATGTCATGATAATGTTATATAGTCTACATAAATCTTGTGGAAACTTGTCTCAGCTACAACATACCACAAAAATCAACAAAATCCAAGCAGAAATATCGGCGATTTTGCTCAAAACACAGGAATGTAGAATCCAGATTTGAGAAAAAGTCATCTCCTATAGGGATTAAACGCAAAAAGTAATGGATTAAGCGAAAATGAGGTAATAATAAAGTAAATAGGGTTGTTTATTACATTATTTGCGATTCTACGTGTTTTAATAATCAAAGGAAATGGTACAGTGAAATGTCAACAAAAAAAAACGTGAAGACAAATATTGTTGGAGACATGGATCTCGAGGATGGAAGTCAAGTGCGTTACCGATATACCAAACATTTCCCATAGCGATTACACGTAAACGGAAAAATAGAATTCTCAAATCCTACTTTGCAAGTGAAATATGAGCATAATCCCAGCATCTGATCGAAAAATAAAAGGCACACGTGTGTTAGCTTATTGTCTCAGCTACAACATATCAGACGCTCAGCGAAAACTAAGCTAAAACAACAGATATTTTGCTTGCGAAAGACAGGAGGGTAGAATCCAGTTTTGAGAAAAAGTCATGTCCCGTAGAGAATACACGCAAAATGTGAAAAATTGACATGCCTCCTTTAATCGCAAAAATACGCCATGATGCCTTTGTAAAAATGAAAAATTGTGGCCAATATATTTGTAGAGAATTGTTTCAGCTAGAACATATCAAAATTTGAAAGAAAATCGATCAATATGTACAGAGATACAATCAATTTTCCAAAATTATGCTGACGTCATAATATGCAAATTGAAATTTTGAGTCTGGAGGCCATTATGATGACGTCATGAGTTAATTGAGGGTCAAAAGAGACATGAAATCATATTTCCGACCCATAATCTATCTTAATATGAAAAAATATTGGGAGTTCCTATCTATTCTGAAGAGTTGCAAAGAATTTTGTATAGGCATGTTTTTGCTCATGTATTGTGGATAAAGATAACGCAGGTCCGCGCGCGCTGTCAACTTTGACGGACGCTCATTGCGTTATTAAAAGATGAACAAATTATCAAAATGCTTGGAAAAATGTGCCAAATATGATGATAGAGAAAATTTGGCGATTCTATGTTGCAAAATGCTAGTACGCGCAAAAAACGCGCGCATGCATGTGAGCGTGATTTTTTGTCAAATGCTCCATATGACCTGAAACGTATGCAAACAAAATATGGGGATGATTTAGAGCATTTTAAGTTTTTGCGCATTTGCGCATGTTTATTGACCTGAAATTGACCGGACGAATATTGATCTTAATCGTGATAATAATGAATGAGAAATACTTTTCAGTTATGAAGATATGATCATAAGTTGATTTTCACAAAATGGCGCCTGGATAATGTCACCATGTTTTTTAGTCTTTGAAAAGTCACGCAGTTCTAAGTTAGACTAAGATCTGTCATCATTGAAAGTTTCATGACAATGGCTTTATTCAGTCTTGAGGTATCCTCACGCAGTGAGTCACGCAGTTCTAAGTTAGACTAAGATATGTCATCATTGAAAGTTTCATGACAATGGCTTTATTCAGTCTTGAGATATCCTGCGAACAAATTCGAGGAAGAATAATAAAAAGAAAAAAAAGAAAAAAAGAAAATCTTGACGAAATCAAAAGGTGATACGTAGACTTCGTACGTATCACCTAATAATACCAGCCTCACAGCAATCATGCAGTGCTAGAGGTCATTACGCATTAGCATTGACTCTCTATGCTTTGCTGGAGTGGGCTAGCCTGGTCTATTCCAGATAGCCTTAAACGGCTCCCATAGGGTCTCACAGAGAGACATATAAACAACACCTAAATTGTGTCCCAAATCACACTTTCCCGCACCCGACCAATATTGGACAGTGGCCTTGATGAATTTTGTTGGACTTTTAGACCTAGTCCTAATTACCTCCTGAATTCAAAATTACGCCATGAAAATCGATCAATATGTACAGAGATACAATCAATTTTCCAAAAATATGCTAACGTCATAATATGCAAATTGAAATTTTGAGTTTGGAGGCCATTATCATGATGTCATGAGTTATTGACTCTCTATGCTTTGCTGGAGTGGGCTAGCCTAGTCTATTCCAGATAGCCTTAAACGGCTCCCGTAGGGTCTCACGGAGAGACATATAAACAACACCTAAAATGTGTCCCAAATCACACTTTCCCGCACCCGACCAATATTGGACAGTGGCCTTGATGAATTTTGTTGGACTTTAGACCTAGTCCTAATTACCTCCTGAATTTAAAAATCGGAGGTAAAAATAACGAAATACTTGCAAATTTCTTACCAGAACGATACGGCTTAACTCCCTTTTCACTGGAGCGTGTGACTTTACGATCCCTACACAATGGTGTTGATCTCTGACTGGCACTTTGTAATGTGCTGCTGCCGTATAATGCGCTGAATAACACTCATACAGCGCATCATACGGAAGCAGCACAATTACGGAAGTGGCAGTTAGAGGTCAACACCATCGTGTAGCGATCGTAAAGTTAGGGTGTCTGAACGATTTTTCAATTTTCAATTTAGGATCGTTTATCACCATTTTTGTTTGATATTTGAATTAAAAATGTAATCAGAATGATACATTTCAAATTTCAAGTCTCACTGATGTTTCTATCAAAAGATACAGCCCCTCCGAAACGCTGCAATATTCATAGCAGTTTTCGACAAAAAAGACGTACATGCAGAGTTATGTTGTTTTGCTAAATTTAGCCAAACAGCTGTATCGTGTGATATGCAAACGTACGCAAATGCGTAACTTGCAGATTGAGCCACGTTGTCTCCGCGATGAAAGTATGGATAGCTGTTCGCACACACTATACGAGCAGATGTTACACAATGTAACCATGGTTTGGACTGAGCGGAGCTCACGCCTCCCTAATTTGCTGATTCAAAAAATGTGTGAAGGGTATTTTCAAGCGAATGATCCCTTGGGGCTAGTGAAAAAAAAAGCACCTGGATATTATCCTTTACGTCTAGCCCTACTTAAGCTGCAGGGGCGCGGCTCAGGAAAGTGGCAAATTTTGGAGATTTGGTTGATTTTGGGTGAGGGCTACCAGCGTTTGCCGCATATTGTTTAAAGTTTTGCTAACTTCATTTTGTTTAAAGTGTGGTATTTGATGTAAAATATTATTTAAGTTGGTGCTAGAATTTCTAGCACCCTTTATGACCACAAATTGAGAGTATTGTCTTTATCTTAGCTGTTGGTGAGGTGTCGTGATCCTTACCTTTTCACCATATTCTGAATCTTCTCCTCCTCTCCCCTCCTCCCCCTCCCCCTCCCTCCCTCCCCCTCCCTCTCCCTCCCCTCCCCTTTTCCATCTCTCACTCTCCCTCTCCTTCCCCTTTCTCTTCCTTCCCCTTTCTCTCTCACTCTCTTCTCTCCCTTCCCCTACTCGCCTCCCTCTCTCTCCCTTCTCTCTCACTCTCCCTCTCTATCTTGCTCTCTCTCTCTCTCTCTATCCAGCCTCTCCCCTTCTCCCTCTCTCACTCTCTCACTCTCCCTCTCTCTCTTACTCTCCCTCTCTCTCTTACTCTCTCTCTCTCTCTCTCTCTCCAGCCCCTCCTCCCCTTCCCCCTTTCCCACTCTCCCTCCTCTCTCTCAATTCTCCCTCTCCTTCCTCCCCCTTTCTCACTCTCACTCACTCTTTTCTCTTTTTTTCTCTTTATCCAGTACAGGCCATGCTGCAGAGGAAGAAACAGCTGAAGATTGCAGAAGAGAAGAAGATGAAGGGGGAGAAAGCTAAGGTCATTGAGTACAAGGTCAACATGTGGATTGAGGAAAGAACAACTAAGGAGCAGGAATCGAGAAAAGCCAACTGGAGGCTAGAGAAGACAAAGAAACAACTTGAAGCAGAAGAGAAGAGGGGAGTCCAGGAGAAAGCAAAGGTGAGTGTTAAAAAAGGAAGTCCACCCTGATATTAAGTTGCTTTTAATAAAAGCAGGAAAATGAGAGAAACAGGTCAGTGAAAGTTTGAGCAAAAACCGACTAGAAATAAGAAAGTTATATATTTTCAAAGTTGTCATCATTGAAACACAAATTGGCAACACTGTGACATATCTTGCAAACTCCTCTCCAATTTTATAAACTTTCGTTTTCTTACTGATTGGTTAGGGAAAATATGATTCATACAGGGGTTGTATAAAAACATCTTTGAAATAATTGTATCCCCCGGCAGTATGCCGGCGGGGTACTTTGGATTCAGCAGCGTTACGCCACCGCATCATATTATTTTATTCTTGAGCGCGCTCTAACTGCCACATTCCTTGACCGATTTCTTTCAAATTTTGTATGGAGGTGTATCGTGGTATAATCTACACACCTATAACTTTTGGTGATGCTGCCCCTAGTGTTCAGTTTTTTATAGGGTAAAAGGCCATATTTTATTCTTGTGTGCGCTCTTACTGCATCATTCCTTGACGGATTTCTTTCAAATTTTGTATGGAGGTGTATCTTGGTATAATCTACACACCTTATAACTTTTGGTGATGCTGCCCCCAGTGTTCCGTCTTCTATAGGTTAAAAGGCCATATTTTTTTGGATGGCTTGTGTGTGCTCTATAGGCCATATTTTCGAGGGATTTTGTTCAAATTTTCAACAAAGATGTATCTTGGTATAATCTACAATCATATAGATTTTGGTGATGCTGCCCCCAGTTTTCCGTCTTGTATAGGGTCAAGAGTTCATATTTGTGGGTGTCTAGTTTGCGCTCTGCAGATCATATTTCATGATGGATTTCTTTCAAATTTTGTATAGAGAATTAGAAATGTATCTTGTTAACAATCGACACTTTGGGTGAAGCTGCCCTCATTGTTCCGTCTTTGATATGGTCAAAGGTCAAATATGTCTTTAATGTGCTCCAACTGCCACATTTCTTGACAGATTTCTTTCAAATGTTGTATGGAGGTGTGTCTTAGTACAATCATCTACACCTTTTTAGTGTTTGGTGATGCTGCCACCTGTGTTCCGTCTGTTATAGGGTCATATTTTGGTGACTGTCTTTTGTGCGCTCTAACTGCCACATTTCTTGACAGATTTCTTTCAAATTTTCTACAGAGATGCATTATACTCTAATTTACACACATATTGTTTTGGTGATGCTGCTCCTAGTCTTGACAATAGTCTGAGCCACTAGTGGCGATCTCTACATCATCCTTTTGTTTCAGGGAGGGGAGAAGGGATCTTCATCCCTCCTTCGAACATAAGGATGACACAAAATTGCTGCCACTGCCGGGGGGATACATTCGCATTGCGCAGCAATACAGATTGCGATATTTCTAGTTATATTTAGGGTGAACGTATCATTGCAAATTTCCTTATGTTATTCTTTGTTTCTTCCTTCTATCACCTTCTCTCACGTTATTCTTTGTTTGTATCATTCTATCACTTCCTCTTTCTATCTGTCCTTATTTTATTCTTTGTTTCTTCCTTCTATCACCTTCTTTTATGTTATTCTTTGTTTTACCATTCTATCACTTTTTCTTTCTGTCTTTCATTTTGCTATTCTTTGTTTCTTCCTTCCAACACCTTCTCTTATGTTATTCTGTGTTTTACCATTCTATCACTTTCTCTTTCTGTCTTTCCTTATGTTATTCTTTGTTTCATCCTTCTATCACCTTCTTTTATGTTATTCTTTGTTTTACCATTCTATCACTTCCTCTTTCTGTCTTTCCTTATGTTATTCTTTGTTTCTTCCTTCTATCACCTTCTCTTATGTTATTCTTTGTTTGTATCATTCTATCACTTCCTCTTTCTGTCTTTCTTTATGTTATTCTTTGTTTGTATCATTATATCAATTCCTCTTTCTATCTTTCCATGTTATTCTTTGTTTCTACCTTGTACCACCTCCTCCAATGTAATTCTTTATCATTATATCACTTTCTCTTTCTGTCTCTCCTCATGTTATCCTTTGTTTATTCTTCTATCACCTTTTCTCATGTTTTTTTGTTTCATCATTTTAACTTTCTTTTTCTGTCATCATGTTATTCTTTGTATCAGATTTTCGTGCACTGTGAATTTATTACCTGTTTAATCACCTGATCTAAAAAATGACCGACGAAAGCACCGACGTGAAAAATCGAAAGCACTGACGCGAAGGGAACAAACGTGAGCTGCGCAACTTCTCCACGCTCCAGTACCTCGTAGTAGCTGACGTCGGGTGCCCAAATCAAAAGCTCACTATTAGTGCCCTTTTGTGAGGCATTAATCCTCATTACTGTCTGTTATGACTTAAGGACGTAGGTCCCCTAGTTGATTAGCATAGTAGCACACTCATGCTTTAGCAGGCACGTAAAACAAACACTCACAAATTAATATTCAATAGAATCTGACAATGTATACTATTATTTAGATCTATTAGAAATAAATCATTGTGAAAATCAGTCCATAAATTGGGGTAAAAATAATTATTCCACCATTATGACCAACAGTGTATGTTGGAATACATAGGAAAGTAGTCCTGCACTACATTACATTGACATTACCGATTTAGCCAATTTGAAGTGCCCATATGTATAGTGATAACAACTTTCAAAAATTCATAAGTTTCTTATATTTAGTCAGATTTAATTGAAACTTTCATCAGTTTGCTTCTCTGATTTTCTGCTTTCTTTTAGAAAAGTTGTCTATTTGGTGTGTGTGTGTGTGTGTCTATTGGGTTTTTACAGACGTGTATCAATCAGATATGGTTATTTACGACCGACCTTTAACGTCACTATCCGAAAGATGCGAGTCAGTTTCAAACCTGCTTCCTCGGCTGAATCGGTTTGTAACTTCAATTGTTAAGCTGGATTACAGGGGCACGCCACAACGCCTTGGTGGGATTTCCCTTTAAATATTACATTCATTGGGTGTGCGGTGAATTGTTGTGCCTCCGCTACGAAGTAGCCGGAGGCATTATGTTTTTGGGTTGTCCGTCCGTCCATCCATACATCCCGTTCTCGTGATCGCGTTATCTCAAGAACCGATGAATGGATTCCCGCCAAACTTAAACCATGTATGTATCTGGCAGAGCTAATAAACTGATTAGATTTTGGGGTCACAGGTCAAAGGTCACAGGGCTCATTATGTATGCAAAAATAGCTTGTGATCGCGTTATCTCAAGCACCGATGGATGGATTCCTGCCAAACTCTAGTCATGTATGTATCTTGCAGAGCCAATGATTTGATTAGATTTTGAGGTCAAAGATCACAGGGCTCATTATGTATGCAAAAATAGCTTATGATCACATTATCATTAGAACCGATGAACAGATTACCATCAAACTCAAAACCTGTATTTATCCTCCAGAGCCAATGGACTGAGTAGATTTTGGGGTCATGGGGTCTAAGGTCATGGGGCTCATTATGTATGCAAAACTAGCTTGTGAACGCCTTCTTATTAGAACTGACGAATGGATTACTATCAAACTCGGGACATGTATGTTTCTTGCAGAGCCATTGAACTGATTAGATTTTAGGGTCATAAGATCAAAGGGTCATACATGTATATAAAAAAAAAACTTGTAATAACGATATTCTGCGAACGTGTTAATGCACGGGTGGCCAACCCGCGGCCCGTGGAGCCCTTTTGGTGTGGTCCCAGATCATTAACATAGTAATAATAAAATGGCACATAACTGAAATGTGGCCCGCATAGCAGCGATGAGATAGGGCAAAACATATACTCACAGCTATCTCTATTTCCATAATTTGTTTTCATCATTCACAACATATTGATTCGTTTTTTGGTTGATACAAATCTCCTCAAATTTCCTCTCATTTCCTCTCATTACATTACAATAACAACATTAACATCACTCGCAGTGTTAATCTCAGTTTGTAAATATACATGTTGTGAATCAAGAAATGCCATAATTGTTTTGAATCAATTACAACCCTTTTCTTTTGCCGTTGAATTTTCTCATGAATCTTATCGTAAACTGGATCGTCTTCTCTTTACACCACGTCAAATGAGATGTACAGTGTACAACTAATAAAGTAAGGATATTCTCTCTGCTGTGTCCTTGATTTTGTTTGAAATAACAACTATCATGGCACCGACAAGGAAGGTTCTGATCAAGGCAGAAACTTTAAATCAGATTGGTCTCTGAAGTATTGCTTCATAGAAGAGAAAGTTAAACCACCTTGCCTCGTTTGTCACCAAAGTAGGTAATGAATGTTAACAACATTGCAGAAAAGTGCAAGCCCCAGAAATCGCACTAAAAATGTAAGCCTGATTTTGTTGTTTGCTTTTATTTTTTCAAAATTGCAGGTGTGTACACGTATTGCGTGTAGTTGTGTGTGTGTGTATCGTTAGCTGTGGCCCGCGAGCTTTAAAAGGTCGGCGACCCGTGTGTTAATGGAATAATTACAATCAAACTTTCAAGTTCAAGTTAAGTTTTATTTCCACATGTGGTTCATAAAAAACAAGTATACATGACCTACATGTTCAGACATATAAAAAATACACAATTAACAAACAATAATATTAAGAGAAACAAATAGCGAACAAAATCTAAAGTCCATAAACAAAGAACAACTAAATACATGTAGATATAAAAAACATGTGGGGGGACAAACAAAGGCCAGGGGCCTGTCGAAGCTAATCCCCAGAACAATATTAGATATTTTGGATATTTTATATATAAAAACATACAAAAAAAACAAAAAACAAAAAACACCCACAAACAATAGCGGCGTATAGTACATGATAAAACAAAATTAAGTTGGCAAAGTAACAGGCAAACAAAAAAATTATATTGTACCACTATAAATTTGTGAATTATTTTTATGTAAAATATACAGTTTAAATTTACGTTTAAAATTAGAAAGTGTCGGACTATTCTTAATCTCTACTGGTAATGAATTCCAGGATTTTACACCAGTGTAAGAAATTGTTGTTTGAGAG